TTCAAAGCCCACACACTTAACCACTGCTTTATAAAGATGGTAATGTCTACCCAGACACCCACTATTTTCTGGTAATTGAAGGGCTGAGGAGAATGTACTTCCAGTCGTGGGTTGCCGGTTTGCCTGATAAGATCTTTCCCACTCTGGCCTCCCAATCTTTGATCTCCTTATGGAGCCAATTTCTTTTGAAAATGAGAGGACAACATGAAGAATGGTTTTCCAGGGAATGTTGTGTTTGTTTTGTATGGGAGCAGGGGTGGGAGGCTGCAATGCTAATTTAATTCACTATTCACGACCCACTGACCGGCGTTTTGAGTATATTCCCCAAATGCCTTTGCTCTTTTCCTCCACCCTTTTTGCAAAGATAGTTCTCCCCCAGTTGGCCCTTCATTAGGAACATCTTCAAGCCACACCCCGATCAGAACTGTCTGACGTGCCTATCTTGAAAACCCATGCACTGTCAACTGCCCTGAACAGTCTTTTCCCCTATTTTCACCTTGCTGATCAGATTTCCATCCCTCCCATTGACCCAGGGCAGCTCTTTTGTTTGCTCCTTCCTTTCTCTTGTCATTTTCTTTGGCTTCCATTTAACAGAGGTGCTTGGTGAGCAACTGCTTTTCCATAATGTCATGGTTAATAAAGAGCATGAGGTTTGGTCAAAGATGGTTTGAATTTTAGCTTTACAACTTACTCTGTGGTCTGGTAACTGAGGCCGTGGTCATCTTTCTGAGCCTCTCTCTTCATATCCTTTTCCGGGCTAAGACCACCTTTGTCACACAGTTGTAGGAAGGATTAAATCAAATGATAGCACTTAGCCCATTTTTGGGACTATAGTGAAAACTCAAAAATGGCACCTTTCTTTCTTTTTTAAAGATTTTACTTATTTATTTATTTGAGTGGGGGGAGGGGCAGAGGGAGAGGGACAAGCTTGCTGTACGTTGAGCATGGAGCCCCACATGGGGCTTGATCCCACAACCCTGAGATCAGGGCCAGAGCCCAAACCAAGAGTTGGATGCTTCACCATCTGGGCCACCCAGGCGCCCCGGCAGCTTTCTTTCTAATTACCTATACTTCTTCAATCCTGGAATAATAAGTCCTCCTATTTTTTTAGTTTCTGAAACTGGCTAAGTTGCTCCTCGCTTTAGGGCTTTGGTGATGCCATGGTAACAATCTCTCTCTCTTTTTTTTAAGAGGGGAGGGGCAGAAAGAGAGGATGAGAGAGAGAGAGAGAATCTTAATCAGGCTCCATGCCAAGTGCAGAGCCCGATGCAGGGCGTGACCTCACAACCTGTGAGATCATGACCCAAGCTGAAATCAAGAGTCAGACACTTATCCAACTGAGCCATCCAGGCTCCCCCATGGTGACATTCTCTTAACCCGGGGAGAGCTTCTTTTCCTTCTTGCTTAACTGGACCTTCTCTTACCGACCCCCAAGCCTGGGATGAAGCATCAACGCCCCAAAGACCCCACTGTGTCCCAGCAACCTAAGGTATCATCTACATCCTTTTTTTTCTCACCACGCTTGGCTTTCATAAGACTAATGTTCCTTCTAAGTTATTCACATTGGTCACTTCTGTTTCTCCCTCATTGATTGGACAGCCAGCTTCAGGAAAACGTTCTGTTCTCACTGCCTGGCACAGTGACCGTCGTTGGTGTTCTAATATTTGTTAGATATATACCTTTTTAACTCACATACAATCTCTCCCCCACCCTCAGGAGACCATCATCTCCTTTACTTTCCCCTTTCTTCCCTTCAGAATTGAGAATTCTTTGCTTCAAACACTGGAAGGCAGCACCCAAAGAAGTGGATTTAACACATTTTCCTAGGTAAGACGCCCAGGGTTCCTCAGTGGGGTCACTTTGGGCAGTTTGGATAGAACAACTATTTATTGTAGGGGCCCATCCCATGACTTGTATCTGTTTAATGTCCCTGGTCCCTATATGTCAGTAGTATTTCCAAATCATTGAGGGATTCTAAAATACAGCAACATATTCACATTTCCAAATGCCCCATAGCTGGTGGTACAGCCCTAGTTGAAAACCACAGAAACTTTTAACCTTGGACACTTCTTAAGTGTAATAAGCATTTAAGAAGAGATAATTATCTAAAACTCAGAAGTTAAGTCAGCTCCCATCCCCATTACCTTGGTCCCAATACACCATTCTTGTCAAGACTGCTGATATTCAAAAGCAAAAGAAAAGGGAGAAAATGTTTGTGTGTGTGTTGATGTTAAGAATCAGCTAAGTACTGCTAAAACAAATCTTGATGCACAGTTCCTATTTTCTTTTGCAGGGGAGATAGACTCCATGAGGCATCAAAGGTAGAAAAGGTGGGAAGTACTAGAAGGATTTTTTGGCACTGGGCTCAGATTCTAAAAGGGGATTAATCCCAGATTCACTCTTTCCAAGGAGAATCAAGAGCGAAAGCCCACGGGCACATACATCTGATAGAGGTCAATTCTGAGAGGACTCCTTGGGGTCATGGTAGCAGAGCATATAAACTTCATATTATCCTGCTGCCCTGAGCCATCAGAAATGGAGAAAGATTGATAGATACTTTCAGTGCTACTGATCAATATTTAGCTCATTATGGTTATCTGTGATTATAACAAGTATATTCACTGGTGTGAGACATTTTATTGACTTGAAAAGAATTAACAAATGTACTTGGTCCGCTGATGAGCTCACATAGCAATACAAAATGCAGCCTACCAGGCTGCAAGGCTGGTAGTAACCCAGATAAGGGTTATCTTCACCTATATTCAGACTGAGGCCTGCCTTTGCCTTTTTGCCACTGGTAATGGAAAAAAAAAACCAAAAACAAACAAACAAGGACAGCTGAGCTTAGCATATATTCAATTTTCATTTATGTATATATGTATTTTTTTTTTATAAAAGATTTATCGATTTGAGAGAGAGCACAGGGGGAGGGGCAGAGGGGGAGAGAGTCCCAAGGAGACTCGGCAATAAGCATGGAGCCTGAAGTCCGCTCTGTTCCAGGACCCTGAGATCATGACCTGAGCTGAAACCGAGTCAGTCGTTTAACTTACTGATCCACCCAGGTGCCCCTATAATATATTCTTAAAAATCTTGTTTGCTACCCAGACTGCAGAGAAATTGTTCTTGGAACAAGGCTGCAGTAGTTTAGGATTTGGTGTTGGATGAATCAAAATCTATTTCCTGCTTTTCTTCCAAGTGCTGCACGACTTTTGGACAAATGATTTGCCCTTCCCAATTCTCAGATTCAGTAACATGGAGATAACATCAAGTCACTGGGCTGTCGTGGGGATTAGAGCAGCTCGTACACACAACACTTCACAGCACACACTGAACCATGAGGAACACGAGAGGTAAAGGGCTTGAGCAGAAAGATGAGTATATCCATGTATGTGTTAAACAGATTTTTCTCTTTCGAGATGAACTGCAGCTCCATGCCTTATGAGGTAACAGGGGATGAAGAATGACTTGCCTTATTAACATGCATGAATGGGAACCTCCTGTGAAGAGCTCCAAGTTAGCGGTACTCAGAGGGTGGTTCAGATACTCTTATGACCGTGAGCATTGAGTCATGCATGGAATTGTTGAATCAATACATTGTACACCTGAAACAGCACACCGTATGTTAACTATACTTCAATGAGAAACATGGGGAGTTAAGAAACTGTTAGTGGAATGTAAATTGAGGTAAAAAAGTAAGAGTCTGTGTTTAGAATCTGTGATTGTGACTCGACAGAGTAGTTTTATGCCCTGTGAATCTAATAATGAGCAGGAATGTATATTTTTGTACCCATTTGTTTTTTTCCACTTCCCTAGGAATTCATTTTTTTAAATTAACTTGTTTTCCTTAGTAATTCATCTTTGTCTTCACAAAACTAAAGGCCCACAATAGTTGAAAATTTAAAAAACTTGTCTCTCACCACTGATCCTGTGAAAATTACTCTAGAAAAGAATTCAAACTCTTCTGTCCTGAAGAAAGTCATTATTCCACTTCTGAATGCTCTGAAGGACTAACATTTGAAGGAACTCTTAGTCTGAACCTTTGTTCCTAAGAACAGGCCAAACTAATAGTTTGAAACAATTCTGGAATCTTTATTACTTGTAACATTAAGCTTATATGAGTACAAGAAAGAATTTTGAAGAATTTTCTCAAATATAGGAAAAAATATGAACAGCAAGGAAGGTGAGGCAATTAAAAAAAAATCCACCTTGGAAAATATACATCTTTATGAGGTAGATCAATATATATTGATACAGAGAGGTCCATGATATGCTAGGTGAAAAAAACAAGTTGTAAACTGTCCTTGCAATATGATGCTGAATTTTTAAAACATTACTGTATGCATAGAAGAAAATGTGAACTAATAGAAAATAAATGAACAATTCTTACATCTGGTAACATTAGGCTTCCAGGGCATAATTATGTTCTTATGTTATTTATTTGCTTTGTGTTTGAATTTAAAATTTTTTTAATTTAAAATTTTTATCAGGAAAATATGACATCTTGTAATAAGAAACAGATCAATGGGTTATGTTGAATAATTTACCTTTGCCATGCTTTGGTTATTAATAAACACACCAAACATGTGGTAGAGAGAGGTTTTCCTAAAAAGACAGGGGAAAAAAAAAATCAAACAGCAGGCCCACTGTGCTTCCATTTCTGTACCTTCTTTAACCATTTGGGAGCCAAGTTCCCTGCATTCTTTCAAAGTGTACTTGCAATTCTGAGCATTCCCTTTCTTAAACAGAAGAAGGTTATTTCCATCTGAGATACTTGCACAGAAATATTAAGGTCTTCCTACATTTCATTTCCCATTCCCTTTCCCCATTGTGCAGGATAAATAGATGTCAGATGAAACATTTTCTTGAATTTAGAAGACCTGTTGGCAAGTCGGCAAAACTAGGATGGATGACTTGTTACAAATAAACAACATTCGCACGATTAGGAAGCCTAAAAATTCACATCTGTCATCCTCAGTGAGGCAATAAACTACCGTATTTCATCAATTCTAAGACAACTTTATTGTAAGACACAGCATTATTTTATGTAGCACTAAGAAAAAAACACTGCCAGTTCATTGAGAGCATGCCATCCATCAAAAGATGCATCCTGATTTCAAAGATGTAAATATGAAAAAATGTGCATCTTGGCATCAATAAAATATGCTAATATATAACTAAAAATCCGCAATCTTGTCCAACATGATTACTTGAAGTAGAGCACTTTAAACTGCTTTGTCTGAACCCTGAATGTAATGGAAGAATACGTAAACATTTTCAGTAGCACACCTCAGTTTATTGACCTATGTAAAAAAATAATAGGTCTTAAAAAGTCAGAACAGTAAAAGAATATGCAAAAGGGTATTTCTGTTTCTAGAAGGCTATACAAGTATGCAAAAAGGAATAACTTACTATTTTTTGCATGTCTTCTTTTTTGTTCCAAATTTTTCTCCCAAACTTCATATTTAATGATACAAATGACTAAGGACCAGTTTAACAAAGCATTTTTATGTATATATTACATGCTTTGGAATATAGATAGAAAATGTTCCAAAAAAGTTGTTCAGAAACTTCTCTATTCACAATATGAACATGAAACCTGTATAAAAGGGGGGAAGGGAGCACCTTTTATGGAATATTGAAGCAGAGTGAAGATGACAAAAAAGAGCAATCTGGAATATGGAAATATTTGTTTTTGTTTTTTTTTTAAAAAACAATACAGTAAACCATAGCTAATTAGTTCTTCCGAGTAAAGTATGAGGTAGTTTTAGCCTCATAATTAAATCTACTGCAGCTTGGAGTTTTTTTTGTTTTTGTTTTTGTTTTTTTTGTTTTGTTTTTTAATGATTAATCTTGTTTTTTGTCATTTGGTGACTTAGAACCCCCCATTGAATCTGGACAATATGCTTACTTTTCTAATGTTCACCATTTTAAGGCACGCAATTCATTGAAAATGCTGTGGCTTTTGTTTTTCCATTTTGTTTTGTTTTGGGTTCTTTCTGTATGATCTTAAAATACTTTTTTGAACTCTTGGTTAGAAAAACTTTCCATATCAGGTCTGCCATTTGAAATGGCAGGCAAATTGGAGAGTTACCAGCCTGAATAATCATCCATCAGGCAACTGGTGTAGAAAGAAAAAAAGGAGCCCAATAATATTGTACCTTAGAACATTCTCCAAGCAGAGTTTGTCAATTATTCAGTGGGCTGCTTTGTTTTCCCCAATCTGCTACCATAAAGTTATATTACAGGATGCTAAGTCTTTCCAGAACCCATTTTACGGTGCTTATGAAAACCATCACTCTTTATGATATCCTAAAAACATTTACACTCATTCAGAACTTCATGAAAATCCAGCTTCTCTTCAAGTAATTTTCCAATACTGTCTAAATTGTTCATGTCTGGGTAGAGATAGCAAGTTATTCTTCACCGGCTCACAAACCCAAACTTTCTGAAGGTGATTAATGACTAAGGAGTTTCTGCTTTCCCTTTCCTCATCATTCTGGATTGTGCTCTGAAATTTCCCGTCCTTCTTTCCTGTTGGGGACCCTGAACGCACTTTTCACAGTTTTGCGGTTTGCCTTCAACAACTTTTATTCCCTTAAAAAGTGCTTGCTACTGATAAAGGCTGAGGCCTTTCGTGGCCACGGCTCCACCTTGCTCTGTCACGTGAGTGCCCGGAGTCAGAAAGGCAAGTCGTTCAGGGTCTCTCCAAACTTGGATGCCTTTAGCTTTCTAACGCCGGATAGCTTTCTGGGAAGACGAACACATTTTGCAAGGCACACTAGTGTGAGATGCAGTGTTTGGTCAAGAGGTCCAACTGCAGTTCAGACTAATGTTCCAGGCTTTGAATCTTCATGCCAAAAGAGCTTCTGCTCCCTGCTCTCCAGGCTGTCTTCCAACCGGCTTCCATCTGTGCTGTCCAGTTGACTGATCTCTGGGTACTGTCTATTAAAGGAAACCAGGAGAGTTATTACTTGTGGTCATTTTTATTACCAGAGTACAAAGATGACGCTACTCAAAGAATTAGTAGAAAGCACTGTCAAGGCAAAGGATGATGGTGTGTTCTTTCACTATCCTACTGGCGAATTGTCAAAAAGGCCCATGCAAGGTGTACTTAATTCTCTCGGGAGATATTCCTTTGTCTCACTTATATTTACCATTGATTAGGATCCAGATTGTGGTAAGTTACATGTTAACTTGTAGGGTTTTTGTCTGGAAGAAATACAAATAACTTTGGTCTACTATAAAAAGACTATGGTTATAGTTTTATTGCCCTGTAGGCCATTAACTGGTTTTTTAATCTTATTTAGTAATCTTATTCCAGCCTTTTATCTTTCAGTGTGTTGAATTCAGTCTTTTGAATTCTCTTGGAAGCAGCTTTACCATTCTGTTACATTAATGAGTTAAATAAATCTTTGACACATGCCCATTTTCTCTTTGTGTGAGAGTCGTATTTTTAACTTTTTATTTTATTTTATTTTTTAAAAGATCTTATTTATTTGAGAGAGAGAATGAGATAGAGAGAGCATGAGAAGGGGGAGGGTCAGAGGGTGAAGCAGACTCCCTGCTGAGCAGGGAGCCCGATGCGGGACTCGATCCCGGGACTCCAGGATCATGACCTGAGCCGAAGGCAGTCGCTTAACCAACTGAGCCACTCAGGCGCCCCTATTTTTAACTTTTTAAAAAGTATTTTTGACAGCCACATTTTAAGTATTCTTCAAATTAAGGGAATAGACTAGATGCTTTCCTCAGGGACAAAGGAATATATTTAGTGGCAGGCAGGGGCACCCAGGAACACATCTTACATCCCTAGGGTCTATGGGTTGAACATCAATTGGAAACAACACCACATTCAAAAATCATAGGCATACTTGGATGATATATCCAAAGGAAGGCATCCTATAACACAAAACATTCCAATAGGCAAAACTTCATTCCTGCAACAGTCATTTAGAATAGGTTAGATAGTTAGTAGGTTTCTTTTTATTTTACATTTCTTTAGTCAAGATGGTTAAAAAGGCACTGGAAGGAGAGCTGCGGAAAGAAATACTATGTGAAACCAGGTATTTAGTGTTTTCATCTACTATAAACACAAAGTCAGATTTCCATAGCTTCACACATCAGCCAGAACAAGCAAAAGTCCTGCTACAAGGCAAGATGCAGCAGACGGATCTGAGGGCTGTACTTACTACAGCTGGCTACACTGAGCAAAAGAGAACTGAAAACTGATCTCATTTCGGGAGACACAACCATTCTCCGTGACAGAAGCCCTGGGTGTTGCCTGGTAGAGGTAGTTAGATAAGGAAGAGAATGCAAAATGGAAAACAGGAAGGCAAGGGGGAAAAAGTTATTTGAAACACAGTTTGCAGCACACAGAGCCAAGAATCTGACTGCATTATATACTAGGGAGCATAAGAGACATTGACATTTATGATTTTAGAAAGCCTATGCCACTGACAATTATACCACAGCATACTTGGAAACAAATTTTTATTGGTAAAAATGTGTAGCTTTCTGTAAATGTTAAGAGCCAGACACTTGGGGGGAAAGGATCTTGAAATACTATGTACTTCATTTGTTTAAAAAATTACTCAAATCTTGAACTTCAGGGCAGATCTAAAGGTTTTCTTTTTATCTTTATCTTGAAACCTAATTTCTCTCTTATTTTAAAAATTATGTTTTCATCAAAAATAACATAATTTTACACCAAATTTCTAAAACTTAATGGATGGCTGTTATGATACTTGCTTTGTTAGTAGGTCAAGTTAAGTTGATCACTCTGAGGTATAATAAAAAAAAAATCCTAAATAGACAAATAGATGGAAATAAGCACACCCGTACCTCTGTTGCTGGGAGGGTAAACTGGCAAATCTTTCTGGAAAGCAAGGGCTTAAAAAAATTCACTTTTCAATTTAATCCATTAATTCTACTTATTGGAATGTATCCTAAGGCAATAATCTGGAATTCAGACAAATATTTTGCACAAAGACATTAACAGCAGCATTACAATAAAAAAGAGAGAGAAAAATCTAAAAAACCATTCAAATTCAAAATATGGGAACTGTTAAATAAAGTATGGTATATTTATTGAGTGGAATATCATGTGGATCACATAAAGTAAGGCTTAACGGTTTTTAAAAATATGGGAACATGTTTATATTGTGATATTAAGTAAAACACTGGGATGCAGAAATTCATAGATAATGAAAGGTGTAAAACTGCACATAAGGGTATCATTACCACCATGTTAAAAATGGACACTGGAAAATGGGAAATGTGTCAAAATGCTAATAGCTACCATCTCTAGATGGTAGAATTATGGGTAAATGATTTCCTACTTATTTATCCCTTTATTATTTTCCTAATTTTCCACAATGAGCTCATACGATGTGCATGTGAGCACACACAATAGGGATCTTTAAATAGTTTCTAATTTCCTGTAGATTACCCCACCTCTGACATCAGACTCCACGTCAAGCCATCTTGGGCTGGCTCTCTGAGACAGACAGGCACACTTGGTAAAAACAGACTTTCTCTAAAAATGTTTAGTACTTCCTGAGTCCAGTGAAAGTAGTGTTAAGGATTTTCAAACTGTTTCATGTGCTTTTATATTATTTCTCATGCAGTCCATGAAAAGGAAAGTAAAAGTGTACAAGTGGGGAAAACTATATGCAAATGAATTATACAAAACGATGAGAACTGACTTAAAGTGCAGCTCCAATTTTGGGCCAAAGCCATTATAGTTCTTGCTCCTAACTCATTTGCAAGCATTATTTACAGAAACCCAAGCTATTTGAAGTCCCCTGAGGTATATTTTCACTAAAATCCTATTTTGAGCACACCCTTTGTTGAGTTGAGACAATCGGCCTAACAGTTCAAGCCAAGAAAAACTCTCCTTGAACAAGGAGAAGAAAAATAAGGCTTTGGGGTTGAATACCTCCAATTCGTTTGTAACACTGAGTACTTTATTAAGAAATTATGATTTCACTCATATGTGGAATTTAAGAAACAAAACAGATGAACAATGGAAGGGAAAAAAAGAGAGAAAGGCAAACCAGAAGAGACTCTTAACTATAGAGAACAAACTGAGGGTTGATGGAGGTTAATCAACTAGAACTGGAATAAAAAATTGAAGTAGAAAAAAGCAAAGATATTTAATCTCTCAAACTCACCAGGCTAGACACTTTGATAAGTTATTGTCTGTGTAAGTCTCCCTATGCCTGAAGCAATCTGACCTAGAGCAAAAATTAAATAAAAACAAACAGAAAATGCTCTATTTCTTGGCACGATGGGTGTGAATGATATCCTGTGAAAAGTGAGGGAGAAATGACCTCTTCATAACTTAACTCCTCTTGGAGAAACTCCTCTCCTCTTGCATATACAAAGAAGTAATGCGGAGTTAGCCATCTTTTTTAAAAAATCACATTTTAACAAATTGTTCTTGTATGTTTCCTCCAAATGTTTACAAAGAACCACGATTACAAATAGGGCAACTGACTGTGTTTGTAGCTTCTTAAGGAACACAGGGTCAGACACAAAATGCTGGCAAATGTTCATTGTAATCAAGCCCACCAACTGCCTACGAGGAATTCTGATGTGAACAGCCTTTTCTGGAGTAGAGATATTTTTCCTCCAAGGTTCCAGGAGAGTCTTAAATGGATGTATCAGTAATACCGTTTAAAGTACTGCAATTAAAAAAAACCCGTCAGACACAGAATTTAAGACCTTGCAGAAGACGAGGAACAGAGTCAAATTCGAACAATCTAGATTAGGAGTCAACAAACCTTTTCTTAAAAAGGCCAGATATTTTTGGCTTTGTTGGCCACGAGGGCTCTGTCGCTACTCCACTCTGCCCTCACGGTGCAAAAACAGCCATAGATAAAATGTACGTGAATGAACATGGCTGTTTTCCCATAAAACTTAATTTACAAAAACAGGTGGCAGCTGGTTTGGGCCCCACAGGCTATAGTCTGATAATCCTTGAGCAGTCATAAAAAAAAAAAAAAAAGAAAAAAGAAAAAAATGAATTCCTCAATTGTTTTGACCAGGAACAGGCTACTAGAATTTTGGAGCATTGCTTTCTCACCTGCCTGGGGAGGGCAAAGGATTACAGATGTTGCCGTAGCAGCTGGTGTAGGAAGAACGTGCCGGGGTCTCGTAGTCAGATAGCCCTACAGCTATCTGGGTCCTCCAGTTTCCAGAAGCGTTTGTAGAAGATACTAGAAGTAAAAATGGAAAGAGACAAAATTAGTGGGAATATTCAAAGCAAAGACTGTTTAGGCCATTTAGATGTACATTATAATCATCTATGTGCAGAGATTAAGAGCCAGTGTTTATAATCAACAGAGTTCCTAATCCAATTTAGTCACTGGCCATGTGACCTCAGGCAAATAGTTTACTCTCTTCAAGTCTCAGTTTCTTCACCTGTAAAGTGGGGATAACAATGCAGATATATCCTGTATAGGGATGATACCAGGATTGAATAAGGTTATATATGAGAATGTCTAGCACCGTGCTTGGTATAGAGTAAGCACTCCCAAAATGGTAACTATTGATATTGTTAATGGGAATAAAGTTAATTGAAAGGCATAAAAAATAACCTAAAAGACAAGTAGGAAAAACATTCTCATATATGGAGAGAGTCTTTCCATTCTGGCTATGGTGGCTGGATAGATAAGGCTTTATTTGTAAAGATAAGATGACCCAGTTTGAGTTTTTTGGAGGCCTTTGGAGGAAAAGCACTCCGTAAGTTGCCCTGTTGGGTCACGACTTGCTCCTCGGCCCAAGGCAATGCCAGCCACTAGCAGGATCGACGCATACTTTTTGCCTTAAAAGAGAAAGTGTGTGTGTGGGAAGGGGTGGGGAGGGTAACTAGTATAGGAGGGAATATGTTCTACTGAGGGACTGAACTGGAACAAGACAAGGGCATCATTTGGGAGCAAAGCCCAGTGAATGTCTCATCGTAGGGCGTTTGTTGTCCTCTCTCTAAAACCAGTCCTGCTCCATGCCCAGGATGCACAAGGTGACCACAACGCCATGCTGGTGGTCCAAGGCCAGGACCGCTCATGGATACTTCCAGCTCCCCTCCATTTCCTGTTCTTGGCAGCCACCTTCCTTGTCTTCTTTCTCACACCCACAAAGCCCTGGTGTCCAGTGTAGGGTGGACGCCTTTCAAAACTCATCTGTGGCCCTGGATGCCATGAGGTTTTGACTCAAAGATGTAATTCTCTCACTTCGAGTTTCTAAGAATGTTTCATAACTCTGAGTCAGGGGCTGGAAAGCTCGGTGGTTAAGGTGTCAAGCACTTCCTAGCTCTGGGACTTGGCCAGGGTCACTTCAACTCTCTAAACCAGAACTGCCTCTGCTGAAAGACGAGGATAGTAATAATAGACCTAACAACAGCGCTCACGGTACCCAACTGTTTGCATACATTAGGTGGGATGGTGCACACGAAGCACTGAGCATGTGGCATGGCCCAGGGGAAGCTGCCAAGAGATGGTGGCTGTCATTACTACTAAAACGGAGTCACCAAGAGAGTCTTCAGATGACTAGAACGAGCTACGAAACCCCTGACTACTTTAGCAAATAACAGGAAACTCTCCATGATGCATGCCTGTTGTAATACATTTTTGCAGCTATAAAATGTAGACAGGAATGAGATCTAATTCCATCCCTTTAATTCTTTAACATGAATGGAATGCCTTTGGTCTGTGGGGCCAAATCCTATGGCTACAAGCCAGGCTCCTACTGGGTGTGAATCGAGAAGCACTCACTCCATTCTTACCTTTGCCCCAGGGACCGAGCCAACCAGCAGTAATGCTGTGGTTTCGGAGGGATGCCTGCTCCTTTCCAGCCTCCCTGCTTAAAACGGCATCACCCCAGCCCTGGGCCCTGATGACAATCCATATGCATCTCAGCCCTCCTTGTTTATTCTTTCTTTCTAACACCTTCTCCATGTTTGTTTTTGGAAAGATTCTCATGCAGTGCCCTGAACGTTAGGGGGAAGAAAGGCGTTCTCTAGAGATGAGCCATAAATTACCAGGAGTAAGAACAGGAGCCTTTTTGTATGGTAGATGTGATAATAAATGGGAAAGCCCTAGCGGAAGTCCAAAGTCCTACACAAACCATAAGAGACCGTACACCCAAATAAAAAAAAAAAAATAGAAATCTCCATGGAAATGTCTCTGGTCAACAAACTTAGAATACTTTTAAAGGCACAGTTTTCACCAACTATTACACGGTGATTCAGGAATCCCTGTGCTGTGTCCTACTAAGGGGTCATGCCTGAAAGAGGGGCAAGAACATAGGACCTCAGGTTTCCACGTAGTTCAAGAACTCATTCGTTTTAGAGCCTCGAAATTGCTAATTTGCATACACTCCTCTGGCTGCTGACTAGACCGTGAGCTCCTCAAGGCCAAAACTGGGTCAACCCTGGCTCCTCAGCTTCCGGGACATGCCTGCTTGTTTGCTGAATCAACGTAACCAGAGACAGATATTCCTCTTTCCCCTCATTTCTCTACTCAGCGAGGGGTAAGCAGTAAGTACTCCATGGATTTTAGTGGAGTGAGGGGCCCAAGTCAATGCATGAGGGAACATCTCTAACCAAAATTATCTTTGAAAATCCCTTACACCAACCCTAAAGCAGAGTATATATGATTACTGAATTGAGTCAAGGCACGCGAAGCACGTAGAACAGTGCCAGGAACAGGGCTTACAAATTACTGGCTCCCATCAGAATTACTAAGATCCTCACGCAGCTACCCGAACATTCAAAACAAACTGCCTTTAGAGGATCAAGTTCCTGCTGGTGAGCAGGGAAGGATGCAAAATCCTAATGTTTTCTGCTTACCTGATGGATTCACTCTATTTTTTTTTAAATATATCAAACATCAGTGACCTGAACACTTTAATGACATGGGGAAAAGATAGAATATTTGAAAGCCCCTAACACAGGGCAGCATAGAATAGGTGCTCAATGAATGCTTGTTGGATTGGAATCTACGATTTGCTCCACTGGACTCCTGTGGACTGTGTTCTTTGGAAAGCCGAAGAGAAAGAACTATGTTTCAGTTGGCAATTCTTACTGTGGCCCCACGGAATGGCTACCAGTGTCATGACCTTGGGTACTGGCCCTGTGATCCCTGAGGGGAGTGGTTTGGGGGAAGGGTGGGCGGGGGACAGGAGGTAAATTTGATCTGGGGATCAAGTGAGTAGGCAGTATTCTTACCGGAAGAGTAGGAGGATGTTCGGCTGCTGGGAGAGCAGGGTACTTGCAGCCCTGCAAACCCCAGGCACCTCTGCGATCCCCTGTCTGAGTCAAAGCTAGTCTGTGGGCTGTGCCCCTGATCCTTCTGCCCAGAGGCCCGCTGGTACCAGCCACGCAGGTGCTCTGCAACTAAGGCCTTGTGGATGTTTTTGGTGATGTGCTCTGACTTGGCAGCAGCCTTCCTGGGCAGCCGGAGAGTTGCATATGGGTTGTGGGGCACCCGGTCGACCTCATCTTCATGAAAGGACCTGCTATAGTCCCTTTGGCGCTCGTAGCTGTAGTGGGCTGAGGCCCGGTAGGAAGGATTGACACTGTACTGTCCCTCCGTGTCGTTCTCATAGACGTAGCCGCCACTGTAATAAAGATCGCACTCGGGATAGGGTGTGTACCCAGCAATATAGTAACTAGAAGAAGGTTGTTCCTGGCTCTTTGTGTAGACACCATTCCTCAAACTATCCTTTTGTGCTAGGTTGGGCATGCTTCCTGAATTTGAAGTCGAAACACTCTGTTTCTTGGACCTTCTCCGGCCCCTCGCACGAGTGTCCAGAGTCTGGGTAGTGTAATATGGGCCGGCGACGGGCGTCACGCAGTAATACTCTGTGCTTGACTGGCTGGTGTAGGAAGACCCGTCATCCAGGATTTCTGTACTACTGCTTCTTTGGGATTTGGAGAGGGAGAAAAATGGCTTATCGTTGTCCATCTCAGACAGCAGGTGGGACTGAGATTCAAGGCTTCCACTGCGCTGGCGACAGTGCTGGGCTGAAGATTCGGGTCTGCAGAAGGAGAAAGGCCAATTTAACAGAGGTAGAAACAGAGTAGTAATAGGTAGTAACAGAGGTAGAAACAAAGTAACAGAGGAAGAAAGAAGGAAGGACCGAAATTTTACAAAATGAACATGGCGTTGAAGGATCTAATCACCCCTGAACTGCCATAAGACTCAAAGGTTTCCAAAGCTGACTGCACAAGAGAATCCATTTTTCACACAATCCCTTGGTTCCCACACAGGTTCACTGTGTCATGGTCCAAATGAGAAAAGAACCAAGTTCTAACAACCATGCGATCCCAAGCCTCACTCGAGAGGAGGGAAGATATAAACTGATGATGCACAAGTTACATCAAAGCCTAAAAAGAAAGCCCAACGCATCTTTGGAGGTTCCTCTCTTCCAATAAGGATAGCAGGAGATGCAGACTAGGGTGGAGGGAGCACCGCACGGGGGAGAGCCTGGCTCTGATGCCAGACATATCTGGGGGAGTCATGGCTCTGCCATCTCCCAGCTGTGCGAGCTTGGGTAAGACATTTAACCTCTTGCAATCCTCATCTGTAAAATGAGGAGGGAAAACAGGATCTGAGATCTACAGTTCGGCTTGTTGTGTGGACTGAATAATATCAGGCATATAGGGATGCCTGGGTGGCTCAATCAGTTAGGCCTCTGCCTTCGGCTCAGGTCATGGTCCCAGGGTCCTGGGATCGAGCCCTGCATCAGGCTCCTTGCTTAGGGGGGAGCCTGCTTCTCCCTCTGCCTGCCGCTCCCCCTGCTTGTGTTTTCTCTCTCTCTCTGAGAAATAAATAAAATCTTAAAAAAATAAAAAAAATATCAGGCATATAAAAGAGCTAGCAAAACCTCCCCTAAAGACGTCAAAGCATTGCTCGAGTCATTATCTTCATCCTCACCACTGAATAACAAACGGTGATGTCTGGTTGGGAAAATTAAGGCGCACGCGCATACACACACAAATCTCCTATCTCAAAGCATATTTTTCAATACATTTTCTTTGCCAATGTCGTTGACCCATTAAGTAGAAAATGCAGATTCGTAACACAGTCCTGCTGAATCAAGTGCCTTAAAATGATTAAGATGCACAACAAAGGAAAGCAAAACCAACAGTGGCAAAGTCATTGGAACGAAGCGCTCTTACTCCAAGTGGCTGGTGCTATAGGCGTTCCGGGTCAGAACTGGGGTGGTGGGCATACTCCGTCCGCCCAGGGGCCGCTGCTCCAGGGTTTTGTAAGGGCTGCCGTGTGTCGACAGCATTTCCCTGTGATGGGGAAAAGAAGAAGTCGGGAGATGATGAGCCTCCTGACATCTCTGGCAAACTCGTCATCAGCCAATCTGAAACTTACTGGAAGCTGAAGGAAAGGAGCACTGGAGAAAACAGGGCAGAGTGCCTTTGTGCTTTAGTATCCTTGATCTCTCTGAGTCATACGGATGAAGGAAAAAAATTAAAGTTTTTTAAAAAAAGAGTATATTGAATAAAAGAGATCAAAAGCAACTAGAGCAGGGGCAGCAAAGCCTTTTTCTGTAAAGAGTCTAATAGTTAATATTTTTGGCTTTGCAGGCCAGATGTCCCAGTCCTTACTGCTCTACTGTGCCCTTGAAGGACAAAAGCAGTGTAGACAACATGTAAGTGAATGGGGGTGGCTATGAGCCAATAGAGATTGACTGTGGATACCGAAAGTCAAGTATCATATAATTTTCACTTCCCCAAATACTACTGCTTTTGATTTCCCCTCCAACTGTTTAAACATAAGAAAAACCGTTCTTAGCTCGTGGGCCATATAAAAATATAAAATAAGTCGCAGGATGGATCTGGCCAATGGGCTATTGTCTGCAGGCCCATGGACTAGAAGGCAACATCTTTAAATCACTTTGTTTGCTACCCAGCACAGTGAGAACACACTCTGAAGTTAATTTTTTAATTAAATGTGACTTTGATTACATTTTTACTTATTACAAAAGCACGTCAAGTTCATTGCAGAAAATTCTGAAAATACAGATAAAAAAGAAATTTAAATATCTATAATCAGAAGCCTCGGATATAGCCAGATATTTTTACTAAGCATACTTACAGGCATTTACAGTTTTTAACAACAAAAAAATATTATCTTACCCTATATTCTCCTTCAAAACCCACATTAAAAAAACTGTATCTAATGTTTTGTGTTGGTTAATATTCATTCACAATGTTATTTTAGTGACAGTATAACATTCCACTGTAAGGATTTATAATTTATTTAAACAATTCACTAGTTGAGCATTTGGGTTGTTTTCAATTTGTCACTAAGTGTAAACAATAATGTGATGAGCATCCTGTACTTAATTCAATAGGAAAAGTTCCTCTAAGTGAAATTGTTGGATCAAAGAGCAAACCCATCTTAAGCTATTAAGGAAGTAGGTATAGTAATTTTTAAGATAATGATTTCTGGTTATAATTTTTCCTTTTACTGCAATAGCTTTGTTTTCCCTAATATAATAAACATACTTGTCCAGGGCTGTCCAATGATGGAAATGTGTTATATCTATGCCAGTATTATAGACATTAGCCCATATGTGCGCCCATTAGCACTTGAAATGTGGCTAGCATGACTGAGAAAGTGAATTTTTAATTTTATTTACTTTTAATTGAACTGGCCAGCACAGCTCTAGACACTTGGATTTCTATCGTTTAAGGCAACAGTTCTAAATGCTATTCTAACAGAGGGGCCTGATACGGTCTTCGACAAAGGAGAAATATAACAAGGTGTTGTTTTCATAAGCGAAGAATTATTTAATCTAAATAATCTTCCTTTATTTTAAGACTAATTTCCAACACCTTTGTTGAGATGCAGTGTGACATATTGGTTAAAAGGTTCAAATCCTGATTCCAACATTTACATGAACCCAACAGGTTATTCAAGCTTTCTGGTCCTCAGTCTACTTATCTGTAAATAGTAATGACAGTTGTCATAACCACCAGGATTGTGGTACAGATTAAATTCATTAATACATATTAAAACACTTTGAACAGTGTCTGATACACAGTAGGAGTTCCATAAATGTTAACTTCATTTTATTATTATTATGACAATGGCTGTATTTTTTTTTGATATTTACATGTCGTTTTTTTCCTGAAATCATGGCATTGTTTACTTGAACATCCTGATTAGGCAGAGTAAACATTTGGTAATCCTATCTTGGGTCCTATTTTTCTTTCTTTCTTTCTTTTTTTTTTTTAGTAGTATTGATCCATGCAGCCAAATTCTGAGAATCACTGGTCTGTCATCTTTTTAAAATCTGGTGTTATTGCCCAGATAATATTTACCTGAGACATTTGAGAAAAAAGTCATATTGTCTATTTTACAGATTAAAGATGAGTTGAAGTCTCATTTCTATTTTAAAGATCAGAAGTCATTTCTGTCACTTGCACCGATAGAGTGGTATTTAATGTCAGCTTCCTGAGAGCATGGGTTCTGAAACTGAACTTAGGACATTATATCCAAATCCAGATTATAAATAATGCCCCTGGAACCTAACATAAATCCAGCAGACTTTAAAATATAGGAAACTGTCAAATGCTTTGAAAAGATCTCTTAGAAACACTTGCACTTGCTGTCAACAACAAATAACGGGGTTAGTTTCTATGCTTTGTTTTGCAAGATAACCCCTTCCGAAAGGATAAATAGGGTAAAGCCAAAAAGGGTCAACTATTTTGGAGGAAAGGTGCCATGGCTGTGAGGCATCTGCCTTACTAATGCTGTGACTTCTCACCTGGACTGCCTGGTCTCCACAAACTGTTCATTGACGGACGACTTTCTGAAATGGATTTGCTCAATCCCGAGAGACTTGGGGGGAAGAATTCTTGGAGAATGAGGTACTGAACTTGGTCGCTGCCCGGCAAGAGTGAAGTTGTCATTAGCTATAATAAGTGAATGAATGAATAAGTAAGTAGGTAAATAAATAAGGCAATAAATACCTTGCCAGCCCTCCAAAAACAAAATCAGAAGAGCTGATGTTTTTAGAAGTGTATTACTTTCAGGAAATTTATTTTTATACTCTATACACTAGAAAACGGAAATTACTGAATATAGTTGACCCTTGAACAACACAGGTTTGAACTGCATGGATGCAGTTCACGGATTATTTTTTTTTCTGATAAATATAGTACAGTATAGTAAATGCATTTTCTCTTCCTTATGATTTTCTTAATAACATTTTCTTTTCTCTAGTTTACTTGACTGTAAGAGTACAGTATAAAATACATTTAACATACAAACGTGTTTATTGTTTAAATTAATAAGGCTTCTGCCAGCAGTAGGCTGTTAGTAGTTAAGTTTTGGAGTAGTCAGAAGTTATACTTGCATTTTCAACCACGGGGGGTATGGCCACACATAACCCCCACATAGTTCAAGGGTCACCTGTTCTCTTGTGGGCCTGATCCAACTTTTGCCACTTTAGTAGGTACCACTCTGAGCAAAGAAAGCATTCTGGTAGAATGGGTGATACTATAGCTTTTCTAGAGTTATATTAAAGAAAAACCCCAGTGTGTATAGGGCCAAAAGGAAGCCGGCCTGTAAAGTTGGTATGGATCACTTTTGTTCACCTTTCAAGTTCTTAACACCTCTTTGGTTGACCAGAGGCTCATCCTATCATTGAAAGTGATATAACTGATTTATGCTAAGTCATTAGAGACTTGTTATGTCTCCTGCTGACATTTGCATTTTCAAAGAGGAATGGCAAGCATGACCCAACTTCAGCTCAAAGGAAGAATTTTGGAATGGTGGAGTTTCATGCACCATCAAACTTGGGGTGGGGATGGGGGAGATTAATCTGTATGGGTTAGTGGCGTCCCAGAATTCTTTAAATCATATGCGCCTGGGTGGCTCAGTCGTTAGGCGTCTGCCTTCGGCTCGGGTCGTGGTCCCAGAGTCCTGGGATCGAGCCCCGCATTGGGCTCCCTGCTCCGCAGGGAGTCTGCTTCTCCCTCTCCCACTCCCCCTGCTTGTGTTCCCTCTCTCACTCGCTCTCTGTCAAATAAATAAATAAAAATCTTTAAAAAAAATCATATCAGACAGATAGTCACTCCTGTGCTTAAGCACCAGGGATTCCAAGGAAGTATTCTACCACTCGATATGAAATCCATTCCATCATAAAATGTGTTGAACAAACACAGGCCATCCCAACAGATATGGCGTTCCTCTATGAAGCCAATACAATGACATGAAACCCAATTTCTTCCTAAGGAAAATAAACTCCTAGCTATCCAGAATACAGGGATAATCAAAGTCTACACTATATTTTCCAGTTTGAGATTAGACTCTAAATATATAGGAAGTCACCGTTGGGAAAAGTTGAGTGAAAGACTCTAAATTATCTATGCAACTCCCTGTGAACCTGTAATTACTTCAAGAGAAAACATTAAAAAAAAAAAAATCCTACACGGGGGTGCCTGGCTGGTTCAGTCAGTAAAGCATGCAACTTTTGATCTCAGGGTCATGAGTTCAAGCCCCACATTGGGTGTGGAGCCTACTTAAAAGTGAAAAAAAAATAATAGTAAGTAAAAATGCTAATAAAAAAATTCTATAGAGCCTCACAAACCCTTACTGAAGGACTGGCTTAGTTGTATATAGTATTATGATTTCCTAAGTTCAAGTGATTTGTATGGTACTGTATTTAATGCTGAGTTAGCCTCGGTAGAAATTAATCATAATCTCCCTTTCCCAACCATTCTGCATAAATGTAAGTTAGTTCATTCTGCTTTTCCCAAAAGAATAAAACATAGGCTTTACTTGAAGAAACTGTCTTAATATTTCGGAATATATAACATTTTAAAATGAAAAAGAAGAGCTACTCACAATCATCATAGGTGGTAGTGTCAGACAAGGAGCTGCTCTCTGATGGGATTATGTCTTCTGTGAATAAAAATAAGTGCCTTTAGAAGAACAGGGCATTTATACATCTACGGTGAATTTAATAAAGCAATTCTTAATAGAGTCCATCTTATTTTTATTTAGTAAGCATAACTAATTACAGTGCATTAAGAATAATTAATGATTACAAGAATGGAATCACTAGTAAAGATATAAACATCTTAGAAATTGTACAAATATGACACTGGGGGCGCCTGGGTGGCTCAGTTGGTTAAGCGACTGCCTTCGGCTCAGGTCATGATCCCGGAGTCCCAGGATCGAGTCCCGCATCGGGCTCCCGGCTCGGCGGGGAGCCTGCTTCTCCCTCTGACCTTCTCCCCTCTCATGCTGTTTCTCTCTCTCTCTCTCTCAAATAAATAAATAAAATCTTTAAAAAAAAATATGACACTGGACTATTTCTTAAAATGGAACAGATTTAGGGGCTCCTCGGTGGCTGAATCACCATCTGAGTCTTGATTTTGGCTCAGGTCATGATCCCAGGGTCGTGAGATCAAGCCCCATATCAGGCTCCGCTCTCAGCACAGAGTCTGCTTGAGATTCTCTCTCCCTCTCTCTCTCTGCCCCTCTCCCCACTGATGCACTCTAAATAAATAAATACATAAATAAATAAATAAAATCTTTAAGAAAAATGGGACCGATTTCAAGGCAGTTTTTGTTTTCAATCTAGCTTCTACATGGGATGAAAACTTTACCTTATACATTGAGGGCTTACACCCAACAAACTGGAAAGAAAAATCATGCCATTCATGTGAAAAATGCTAAATGTTATGCAAAATACACCTGAACCCTCACTTGAAAATCTGCTGTTAGTATAAATTATTTTTTGACCCCTCCCTGAAGAAAAGGGCCTTTTCTTAATAGGTAAACACTTTGTGGTGCATGAGCTTTTCAATTAGACCCAGGTTTCTCACGTGGCACTACTGGCATTTTGAACTGGATAATTCTTTGCTGGGGGGAGCTGTCCTTTGCATTGTAGGATCTCCAGCCTCCACCCACTGTCTAAGAGAAGCACCGCCACGCCCAGTTTTGGCAACCAAAAATGTCTGTACACATTGCCAAATATTCCCTGGGGTGCAAAACTGCTCCTGGCTGAGAACCACTGAATTAGACAGACCTGGGTTCCCATCTTGGTTTTGACACTTACTGGCTGTGAGACCTTGGGCAAATGACTTAATCCCTCTTACCATCACTTGGCTCAACTAAAATGGGAATAAGAATAGTATGTAGTATGCAGTGCTAAGGTGAACGGTAATTAAAATAATGGATGTAAAGCCCTTAGCCCAGCTCCTTGTACAGGACGAACGCTCAATAAATATTAGCTACAGTTTTGCTTTTATTACTTAGACACAGCTTCCTGGTGGTTGGAAATACCCATAATGCTCCTAAATATTACTGCTGCTCATCAGATGTTAAAACAAGAGTCATCTCAGATGTGTTGATCTGCCTTGGCAAATCATTCCACACACAGGGTCAAGTCCTGGCAAGGTTACAGGCAAATACAGCACCTTAGTGTAGGCTTCCATGCCATTATGAAGGGAATCTCTCCCATCTGATCTCAAATGTTAATCTCCATCAGAGCCGGGCAGACTATCTCTTAATTGGACACACAGTAGCGTTTGAAGGCAAGGTGCCAGTGTAGTCAGCTGTCAGGCACACTTAAAAAAAATCTACCCAATATATGCTCAACCATTGGCACCATCTGCTGCCCAAATGTCACTCATTGTAAAGGAGATCACTCAAATCTTGCACAGTTTGGGGATGAATGGGCCACAACAAATGGTTATGAAAGTTAAGTACGCTGCTAATCACCCATCTCTGTAGGTCCAGAATGTAACCACCTCCAAAGCCAACTGGATTTCTCATTCAGAGTCAAAGCCATTCTAAATTCTCCAGCTGTAGCTGACGAACACTTGTGTGTTGATGTCTGTGCATTCACTTTCCAAAAGCCGTATCTCTGCTTTATAAACCATACCGCCCTAAACCCGAGAATACGCGAAACCTAGTCACCACATTTCATCCAATCTGACATATATAATTATTTTATGTTTCAGTAAAACAAGAGAAAGTATTGCCAATTGTAACTGTAGTACACCATCTAGTATAAAAATTATTCAAATTTCACAGATGTTTAAATGTGAAAAAAAATAGTCTTGGAATCAAAGAAATATAATCATATTTCAACCAACAATCAAGGCTGAAAACCATGCTGTTAAAGTAAGGCCAACTGGACTTACTACCTGAACGAGATTTTCAGTGTATTTTTTTCCCGAATATGAAAATCGTTAAGTATACAATGTTGAGAATTTTTGAAAATACAGAAAGTATTAAAAGAAAAATTAGTTACTTGAAATTCCACAACTACTAGTATTTTGAAATATTTCCCAACCAGCTGTTGTATGTAGATATTTATACGATGTCAGGATCATGTTGTGGTTATGATTTAATACCCTGCTTTCTGCATTTCATGTTATATCACAAGCATTTGTCCACAGCTTTAAATAGCCTCCACAATGACAGGATGGTAAGAGCTCTTTTCACAAATGTTAGATAGGTCCTTAAAAAAATGTATGTCCCTGCATGAAAAACCTTTGGGAAATGACTGCGTAGGCCTAGCTCTCTTACCACTCTGTGCTATCAACTCTATTTCCTGTAGTGATGTCAGGCTAGTTAAAAGGGGATTATGAACCAATATTGCTATGAATGCTCCTTCATCCCAAAAATGAAAGCAATGCAATAGTATAGTATTACAAAAGTGAGAATGTCACTGAAAACCATGTTTACACACTTGCAAGACTGACATCCCAAACCATTTTTAACCCTAAGAAACTTACTTTTAAACTTGTTCTTTCTTTTATCTCTCACCAAATGAACTAACTTGGAAATGCTACATACTATCACAAACATTGACTATGTGACTGGAAAAACCTTACTGATTACGAACCTGGTAAAATAACGGTTGCTTTCTGGCTGGGTTTCTTTCCACATCTGATTCGGTATTCATTTATCGCATTTTCAATCTCCTGAAGCTTTTTCACTGCATCTGTGTAATCTTGCTTTCGTTTTTTCTTCACGGTTTTATAAAGGTCTGGCTCGTTGGCAAGTTTCTTTGCAGCTTCAACCAGCTTTTGCTGTATTAGAAAATTGCTCTCCAGTTCTTGCAAAGCAGGATCCTGCATTTATACAATGATACTGGTTCTTGTACATTCTCAGTTCAGATGCTCTTTGAGAATAAAACCTTCCTAAGTCTACTGCATAGGTATTTTCAAACACTTTTCTAGAAGTCAAGACCTCCCTCATCCATTTACTTACACTCCTCACTACTCCGACTTTTTTCCTTTTAAAGAAGGGAATGGTCTTTCATTCATGTAGTTGGTTGGGTGAAGATTATATTTTTCAAGGAGAGATTCTTAACCCAAGATTCAGAGACACAGAAGGTTATATTTACATACATAGCTTTAGAAACAGATACATTTGGGTTTGATTTCTCTTTCTGGTGGTTCCTGCTTCGTGACCCTGGAAACACTGCTAATGTTGCATGTTATTTTCATTCTGCATCTCCATTTCAAATGAGAGAACATCTACCTTGTTTTTAAAAATATGGCAAGGATTAAATGAGATTGTGTGTGTTCATTGCTTAGCCCAGGACTGGGTATACTCAATAAATTGCTGAGCTCAGGGGCGCCTGGGTGACTCAGTGGGTTCAAAGTCCACCTCTCGATTTCGGCTCAGGTCATAGTCTCAGGGTCATGGGATGGAGCCGTGTCGGGCTCCGTGCTCAGCAGGGAACCTGTATGAGATTCTCTCCCTGTCCCTCTGCCCCTCGCCCTGCTCGTGCTCTCTCTAAAAGAAATAAACACATCTTTTTAAAAACTTGCAAAGCTCACTCTATTATGGATGGAAACTGCTATCATTTTCTACAGCCAAATGGCTAAATTTGGGCAAGAAACAGGAGTAGGGCCCTACGATCTGATGACATGTAAATAAGAAAGTACACTCTATATTGGAACTTTATTATACCTGAATGCTGCACATGTATTATGTCACTTACACTACTCTTATCCGTTAGCGGGAAGAACGAGGATTACCCCCATTTTATGGATAAGGGAACTGAGATCTGAGAAATGGCCTATCAGAAAGGGCAAACGTTTTCATCAAAGGCTTCTCTGTTTTACGTGGAAGCATCTAATGCTGTTGCTGGAGTTCTTCATTCTTACGGCCATGGTTCTCAGTTATAACATTCCATGGTTCTCAGTTATAACATTTGGGGTTTGTTTAACACTCTCTATGCTTGGGAGGAGTAAAGTAGTGAGAAATAACTCAACTGTAATAGGACTGTGCATGAAAGAAAGAATTCGATTTGGTCTACTATATCACTTTCAAGTGGCGAGATAGAAAGGTACAGCAGGGACTCAAAAACCAAAGAAACGAGTCAGTCACATTCAGCTGAGGGCTGTTCTGTCGGGCTGTTAGCAGAAATGCTCAGAGCTGGTGCTCATACCTGTTCACTTGGCAGCAGGTTGTCATCCAATTTGAACGCGGTGCCTACACGCCTTCTGACCTGAGGCGGTTTCTCACCTACGTTCAGCGGATATTCTTTTGGCATTTTGCCGGTGAGCTCCTGTAAAACAGGACAGAATCGAGAGGGGGATAACTGACATTGGCCAGATTGTCAAACACAATGTGACGAGTCCCCCCAAAGCAGAAGACACTCACAGCCTCCCGCAAACAGATCTTCTTAAGCTCCTCGACTTTTTTCAGGAGTTTTTCCTGCAAGAGCTTTTCCTTCTTCTTGAGCTCCAGGATTTTCTCTCTCTTTTGCTCCTCGCTAACTTCTGAGTCTTGAGAACCTGGAGGGATTGGAAGGGAGGGCAGGGAAGGTTTATACAAGGCATGTTTCCTTCCTTTTTTAAAGGACAAAGGATTTTTAAGCCTGACCTGCTATTAAATAATAATTTATTTCATTTCTCCTTGTTTCCGAACATAATAAAAGGAAACTGGAGTACATTTTCTCATGCTTCTGGGCATCCAACACAGCCTGGTCATTATATATACCTTCTGTATTTTGGCTCAGTCATTCTAGAAGCAATGATAAAATGCTTAATGTTTCAGACGCACCCAAGGAAGAATTTCATTTTTCTGAGCAAGGGAGAAGGTAAGATGTTCCTGGAGATAATTGTTTAGAATGTCCTTGTAGAAAGCAAGCAAGCAAGGCAAAGGAACATTCTGTGCCTCAGATTAAGAGTTGACAATAGGATTTAGATGGGAAAATTCATTTGAGTTCAGTTACGTATACTTGGTGATAAGAGATTCCAGAATTTGGGCGCCTGGGTGGCTCAGTTGGTTAGGAGACTGCCTTCGGCTCAGGTCATGATCCTGGAGTCCCGGGATCGAGTCCTGTGTCGGGCTCCCTGCTCAGTGGGGAGTCTGCTTCTCCCTCTGACCCTCCCCTCTCTTATGCTGTCTCTCTCTATCTCATTCTCTCTCTCTCTCAAATAAATAAATAAATAATCTTTAAAAAAAAAGAGAGATTCCAGCATTTGGAATGAATCTCTCTCATGGTACAGTTCAATCATTAACTTTAAAATGTCACCTGTGTCCACATATACGTGTACAGAGGAAGGGCTTCAGGGCAGCAATCACACTGGGAGGTGGGTTTGGGGTGAGGTTTGAAGCTTGTAGTCACGTTTGACTATATATTAAGTAGAGCATTAGACAACTGTCTAAATCAAAAACTAAATATTGGGAGAAGAAGCTGATAGAATAGATGGGGAGAAAATGTCCTTTCAAGTTACCCTGAGGAGTTCACTATCTTTGTAACCAGTGTTGTTTATGCAAGCTATTTATAATTTAACTTTCCTTTTACTTTTTAATACATTGGTTTATGCTGCATGCTATAGGTTTTGATAGGCTTATTTACTCCCCAAATAATGGGTCTAAAATGTGTTTAAAAGTGGTTTATGACCCCCAAAAGTAGTTTAGGACCAAAAAAAGTGAAAAATAAAAATCACTTGTACTTTCCCAAAATGTTACCTGAAGAGATTAAACTGCCATTGCTCGCCATGATGAACTGACTTTTGGCCTCCAGTGTCACCATTTTGGAGACCCTCGGTGTTCCTGTCTCAGTCAAATCCATCGCGATATCGTCTAAACTCCTGGCTGAAGGAATTTTTGCCTAAGAGGTACACAACATGGAAACAGAATTCATTCAACAGAACCTATTTCAAATTAATAAAATGATTAAGTTACTATGGAATAAGTATGTCAACAGAGAGGACAATTTAGAATTTTTACATGCCCAAGTGACACTTCAGAAGAAAAAAATACAAAACTTAAGCTTTACATCGAAAATGTTTAAATACGCATGAATCTCTCTCATGGTACAGTTCAATCATTAACTTTAAAATGTCACCTGTGTCCATGTATACACGTGCCGAAAAGTTGGCCCATCTTACAACTTCTAAATCAGGCTATATATAGTGCTCCTCTTTTAAATGTAAGGAAAATTAAAACGGTCAGAAAGTTTAAAAAGCAAAAACTCAAAGAACAAAATCCCATGTGCTTCCATCTTTTCTGAGGAAGCTTATCTTCTGAGCAGAAAGCAAATGAGGGAGGGAAGTCTGTTCCTATAGAAACACTCTAGTGACTTACTTTGCTTTGCTTCCGGTCCAAGTAAAACTGGTGCTGACTAATTGCCATTACCCAGATGGACTTGATGAGAGAAGGGTTTGCATACCACGTTTGCACGAAGAGCCCACTTTGCCCAAAGGTTCTTCTTGACACAGAAATCCTGAAAGATTAAGCAAAGCATTCGATTTATTCACCTCTGGCCCAGCACACCACAACATGTACCCAGTGAGGAATGTGATCATGAAGTATCTTCTTATTTGTTTTCCTGCTGTCACACTCGGATGTTGAGAGGAGCCAAGCTTCTGATTTTCTCCTTTTATGAAGAAACCCGTTACACCTGGATAATCTCTCTTTTTTTTAAACTACCATATTCAAAAATGCATACGCACATAATCCAAAGGGTAAGAACTACTCAAATTAGGGGCTGTACTAAAAACATTTACTTAAAAAACCACAGGATGTGTGACCATCACAAGAGGTCAGGAATCAAGGTGATAATATTTCAAAGATAACGCAACCGAGAGGGCAGGGTCAACACCTCCCTCAAGGTAAAAGACCATTTCAGATCTAGGTAGACTTATGCAGCTCTGACATTATCAGAGGATGAACATGATAATATCGTCTGCAGATATGCAAGTCTGAAACTGGTCCAGTGTATTGCTTATGTGCCAGATAAGAAGAGGAGAGAGAGTCAGAGGAAGAGAGGGTGAAAGGAGAAGGAAGGGGGAGCAGGAAGACGCTGTGGGGAAGGAGGGAGAAGGGTACCAATGTTCTTTGTAGGAATTTGGCTTATCTCTTGGTCCTCTTTTTGTCACAGTTGTTTCCCCAATCCCTCTGACCTCCAAGCATCCATAAACGTATCTGAAAGGCAAACACTGAGGACTGATAATGAATTCCTCTGAAGAGCTCAGAGAGCCTACAATCCTGACTTCAATCCATGGCGGTAACTTGGCAACTATGGTTTTAGAAGTGGCCAGGAAAACCAAATTAAAAATATGAGCAAAGGATCTGAACAGGTATTTCTCTAGAGGAGATATACAAGTGGCCAAAGAGCACATGAAAAGATGCTTAGCCATCATTAGTCATGAGGGAAATGCCAATCCAAGCCAAAATGGGCTATCACTGTATGCCACCAGGGTGACTATTAAAAAAACAAAAACACAACTAAAAATAACAAGTGTTAGGGAGGATGTGAAGAAAAGGGAACCACATACGTTGTTGGTGGGAATGCAAAATGGTAGAGCTGCTGTGGAAAAACTGTGGCCGTTCCTCCAAAGGTTAAAGAAAAGAGTTACCCAGCAATCCCCCTCCCAGCTCTACCCAGGAGAAATGAAAACATGTCAGCACAAAAACGTGCACATGAGTGTCCCCGGCAGCAGGGTTACAGGGATTGTCAATGCAACCATATAAAGAAAAGGCTGTCATCCTCACCTCCGTGGATCATGAACTTCAACGGCGAATTTTTTCTCACGGAAATATAAGTTCTCCAGCTGTTTCCACTGGAATAACTACGAAATCAAGAACGCAGAAAAGATGCACAGCTTTAATTAATGCTGATTTTTCCTAAATCTGGAACTCAGCTTCATCATCAAAAAATCAAGAAGGTACACTAAGGCGAAGCACGGATATGTGATGCAGTCTTGTTGCAAATCAACAACCTGAAACCATTTTATTCCTTTCTCTGACAGTAATCTTCACCTCATGAGTAAATCTTCCTTGAATGCTAAAACCAGGCCAGTGTGGGGTACATGCATACTCTTTTTCCTCTGACTCAACTAAATAAAAATAGTTAGGAAATCCTCACAGATTCCAGTAAGCACATGCCTTCTGATCAAAGATGTTGACTTCATATTCAAATGGAAAGATATTCAAAGGGATGTTTCAGTAGAACCACAGATGAAATTTCAAAAGAATGCAAAGTGAAAGTAAAACGGGACCCCAAGCAGGGGTGATTCTCTGTGATACCAGTTTCCTGCCTACCAGAGTTCCCCTAAATGTGACAGAAACCTAGTGCCAAGAACTGGAGCAGAGGTGGGGAGGGGGGTAAATGTGGGGTTGCCCTCTTGGTTTCTGAGCTAGAGCCTCCAGTTTTTGTAAATAGAACCCACTTCTCTATTCCCACTGCTGACCTTCTAATGCTGCATTCGGTGTCATTTGCCAATTGGTTGGGAGAAACAGAAGTGAGCTAGCAATGTGCATTTGAAAATCAAATAATTTATAAAAAGCAGCCCATTCCCGAGGCCGAGTGCCCTGCTCTATTTTCTTTCCCAACCCCCTGGTACTAGCCTGAGTCTCAGCTTTTCCTCTCAACTAGGAATTTGTCCCACTATTGATGATTAGTAGACTTTGGCCAGAGTTTGAAATTATGTTCAGGGAATCTTAGGGGCGCATTTAAATTGTCTAACTGCAAAGCACCATCAGCACAACCATTTCCTGAAGTACAGGAGCCAAGACTTTTCACGAACATGTGCACCTCATGTAAAGGAATAGCACGAACTTAAAGTTCCTATGCACATGTAACCAGGAGACAAAAGCGTTCAACCTGGACCCCCAACCCCAAACACAGTGAGAGAAACCAGCACACGCTAAGAACACAGCCCTTCGTGGTCCGAACACACAGTCAATGTAACCACAACAATCACCCAGGTGGCAAGAGTTATTAGTGAGTGAAAGCTTAAAGCTACATACCCATTTCCTAAAATGTCCGTAGACTGGACGCTTTCATTTCTTTTCATCCAGAGATTCCAAAAATGGGACAGAAATGTGAAGGAAAACCCCAAGGCTTGCTCCACCTCCCCTCTCCCAGACAGCAGCTCTGGTGAGTTCTGAGTTTCATAAGACATCGAGGTGTAACTCAATTTCACAAACAGAGCCTCCCACGGCTGACACGCTACTGACATCAGCAACTCTAGCGGGTGACACCTCCCCAGTTCTACTCCTTCCTCCGATCAGGGAGAAAGAGGGCAAAGTTCTCTCTGGCAGATCTTCCCAGAAGGGAGACACATTCTTTTAAATGGACCAGAGCGGGGATCCTGATGATACTTCCCGGGAAATAAGTTGCTTCAAATCCAGGCACAAATTTCACTGGAGGCTGTCTCAGGGAGACATTGCTACCCCAGGTTTACTCACCCTGGGCATAAACAGGTTCTACAGGAAGAACCACAATGCAGCTCAGCTGTGTTTTTCTTTGCGTCCATTCCCACACACATAAAAACCAGGGCCGGACTTGAAACATGATCTCTGAAAGCCACCACCTCCCCCTCTTATCACTTACAAATGGGAAATACTAGCGCCTTTGCCTCCATTCAGCAAGTCCCTGCATCGAGAGCAAACATCCTCCCTGCAAGCAAAAGCCCTACTTAAATGGTGAAGGGCTCCAGGTTATTTAAGGAATTTGAAATAATTAGATGGCAACTGGGTTTGCAAAAGAAGTTAATGGTACGAGACTGAGTCTGTGAGGTGAGGATGGTGGAGTGTACCAAGGGTTTGCATTCTGGTTCCATCACTTGTTTTTTTTGGGGGGGGGGTAACTTGCTTAACTTCTCTGAGTCTCAGTTTTCTCATCTGTAAAACTGGAGCAACACCTGCTTCAGAGGGTTGTGGGAAGGGTTCAGTGAGGTTACATTTATGAAGCACTTAGTCCCAGCGTCTGGTTTAGAATAAACATGCAGTAAGTGACAGAGCTAGTTGTAACTGTTATGAAGGACACGCCATCCAATTCCGTAATGTTATCATGTCTTTGTGAGGATGGGGGACTGCCATTTAATAGCAGAAACAGAAGTAGAAAGAGCTGTCTGGATCCCACATCTGTCTTTCCACTGACGAGAACCAGTCAAGTTCTTCTGTTGACACATCGGGTTTCCAATTCTGCGAGTTTCAGCCTCTGTAAAAACTGCTATATCTCTGTTGATTTCATCGGTGGTTTCCTGATACACCCTCTGGGTAGGAAATCTGTTCACTGTTCCTGTATCGCGGAGGTCAGAGAGGAGGAGGGTGGGGTGGGTCAAGGGCACTCCCACAGACAGACGCATGGCAGCAAGCTCCCTCCTGTCTGGGGTACCCAGAAAAGGAACCTGCCAACAATGCTGAGGAGTGTGCACCTGCCATAGGCCGGGGGGTACCTCCCAGGCTAATAAAAGACTGAGGGAAAGCCTCGGACAGAAAGGATCAAGCTGTCTTTTTGAGGGGAGCCTGGGTGGCTCAGTTGGTTGAGCAACTGCCTTCGGCTCAGGTCATGATCCTGGAGTCCCGGGATCGAGTCCCGCATCGGGCTCCCTGCTCAGCGGGGAGTCTGCTTCTCCCTCTGACCCTCCCCCATCTCATGCTCTCTCTCTATCTCATTCTCTCTCTCAAATAAATAAATAAAAAATCTTTAAAAAAAACCCTGTCTTTTTGAATCTTAACAAATCAAAATTAGAGGTCACCCAAAGGTATAACACCAGTCCAGGATAGGAAAGGCATCATCAGAGGCTTTTTTTTTTAATAGCACTTATAATATAGGTTAATCATTTAACTGCAAGTTCACCTGGAAATGACCAAATTTGGGATAGTCAGAGCTGTACTATATGACTGTACATCAAACAGTGACTCACATCGGGTGATCCCTTGCTGTAACTTGAAGCAAAACCAAAGAACTGTATTATTGATTTATGCTTTTTTCATTTAAAAAAAAAAGTTATACTTGATGAATGTACTGTTAGTACTCATGATCAAGTGAGTGGATGAGTTTTGCCTTTTGGAGTCTCACAAAGACAGAATTTTGCGGGATCATGGACTTTTAGAAAGCCACATTGACCACCTTCTAGCCAGCCATCCTTCTATCCATCAAATGCTTATGTGCCTGAGAGTGAGTCTGCCCAACAACCCTACAGGGAGTTACTACTTACAGCCTCATTTTATAAGACAGACAACTGAGGCTCAGAGAGGTTTGCATAAATTGTCCAAGGCCACAAAGCTAAATGGGGGCAGATCTGGTATTCACACCCAGGCACAACCAGGCTCCCCAAACCCCACTGCCTAACCAAAGTACACCATCCTGCCTCACTCATCTGGGAAGAGGACTCAATGGAGATTTTTTTTTTTTTTTAACAAAAACTTGGAGTAATTCTCAGATCGACCTCACAAGGAAAAAAAACCAACCCCAGCAGTTATAACAGCCATTTGCAGAAAAGGACTCTGGGACCCTCAAATTTTACTTGCACTAGTGGTTCTCAACCAGCAATGATTTACATCACTCCCTACTCTCATCCACAACCCTCGGGCCATTTGGGGATATCTGGAGACATTTCTGGTAGTCACACTGCAGGGACAGGTGCTACGGGCAGCTGGTGGGCAGAAACTGGGGATGCTGCTGAATATCAGGCCATGCTCAGGACAAAATCCTCTGACCCCAAATGTCAACAGTGCAGAGACTGAGAAAGCCTGACTCAGAGGATAATTTTTGGTGATATACCTATGCTTCGGTAGGTGGAGTGTGTTGATGTAGAAGATGAAATGTTTGCTCCAAAATAATGAACGCTGGGGTCCTATTTTTCTCAGTTAGGTAATCTCCTTAGGAACAAATGGTTGTTCAGATTTTCTAAATGCAAATGTTACCCACCAGAGGGACTGAACACCACCCATCAGACTAGAAGAGGCCATGCTAACAGAGTCAGGTGTGCTGAACAAAAATGTTATAACATACCCAAATGGGATGTACTCGGGTAGCAAAAATTACCTTTTGAGATGTGATATCATAACCCTCCATAATGAAACATCACGTCTTAAATGCAAGGAGTACAACACTGGGAGTATTTTAGAAAAAGTTTAGATGAAGTTCTGGTCATCAGGAAATGCATAATATAAAACTCTGACCATCCAAGGGGATGTGATCTCCCCAGATTTCCTCTGTGGCTGAATCTCTAACCTCCCAGGGCCAACCTAATGACTTCCTGTTAATACTTGCAGTAGAGGGCTCCCCGCCACGTGGATGGTACAACCAGGGCTGACCTGCTGCTGAGGGGCCCCTGCATGGCTCATTTGAGGGTTTACAACTGACATCCCTTCTCACGGCTTGGTGTCTAGCCCACTTATTAAATATTTCAGTAAAATCCCTAACTTTGAATATAATTCTGTCTTTCCAGATGGGCTGTCACGTCCTTAATGACAGGGACTTGGCTTTTTCCTTAAATGGAATAAAGAATATAAAGTGCTAGCTCAGGGTCCCTGTACATGGGCTCAATACATTGTCGTTGTTGTTAAAATGTAAAACTGGGGAAAACTGTACTCTCTTGTTAGAAATTTGTTCCCTAAGGATGAATGAATGAAAACCAAACCAATCTTTGGTCATAAGTACAAAGTGAAGAAGCCTTTACTGTTTATGCCCCTTCCTAGAACATTTTTTTCACAACGCTTTCTCTACTCATGGTAGATAAATGTCCAAAGTGGCATTTGGACAAGTCAATCCTATTAAAGTACTATCTTTCATTTCTCTGTATGTGCCAACAATTCAGCCATTCGGTAAATGGCT